CATTCACAAGTATCTTGAGATGGAGCATGTCCACCATAAGCTTCCCGAAGTATTCAGTATTTTCTTCAAAATAAAGTAATGAATTAAAACTCCCCACAAATGCTCTTTTTTTGGCATGAAATTCGACATTTTTAAGTGTAAAAATATCTATGATGTTAACACCTTCAGCAAATTTGACTTATGAAGTTTTGAAGCTTGCTGTCAATACAACAAAATAGCATACATATCAAATTGCATATATATCAACCTACGTGTAACTCCATCTATTGAAAAAAATCCGATTAACCGGTACACCTAGTAAACACACAGGGCAGGGTGTTCTTGCCACTTGCTCTTCCGGCTCTCAGTTTTTCCATCTGTGTAGTGGGGATGACCATGTACTCCTGGATGTCTTTGGAAACTTCAATGAAATGATACATGGGAAGTGCTGACCCCAGGGTCCAGCCTGGAGCAGGCGCTTGACACATGCCAGCTGCTGCTGTGACCAAGTGACATGAAAAGAGCACTCGACTGGGGGTCAAAAGGCCACGGCTCCAGCTGCTGGTCTAACAGGAGTCACCCTGGTGTGGCCTTGGGCAAGTCCCTTTGCCTCTTGGGGTCTCAGTTTCCCCTTCCATTCCGGGTGGGCCGAGGCTGGGGCCCTTCCCGCTCCCCTGCAACGTTGTCCATCTCTGAACGTTCAACTCGCTTGGTGCTGGGCACCAGGACCTGCACCAGCCGGGGCCCGCAGCACTCTGTTGGGAGAAGGAATCAGGGAAGTGGCTGGGGCGTCAGGCTTCTTGGAGAGTTCAGCAGGACTTTCAGCCCTGGCTCTTATCAGAGGCTGTAAATCTGCTGGTTGCCATGACTACGGGAGAGCAGCAACTAAGCTCCAGGTCGCTGATTAGCAGGAAGGGAGCGGGAGGCCTGGTGGAATCGGCACTCAGGCCCCCCTCCCTCCCTCCATGAGGTGGAGCAGCCGCTGGCCTTTGACTTCACTGTGCCAGCCTCCCCTGAAGAGCTTGCCTTCTTTTAAGTTTTTTTTTTTTTAATGCAGCATCGAAGGGCTATGTGGTAAAACGGGTCCTTCTCAGCAAAGATGGAACACAGTTTTCTTAAAACCCTGCAAAGCCTGGCCGGCATGGCTCAGTGGTTGAGCATCGACCCACGAACCAGAATGTCACAGTTTGATTCTGGGTCAGGGCACATGCAGGCCCAATCCCTAGTGGGGGGCGTGCAGGAGGCAGCCGATCAATATTTCTCTCTTATCATTGATGTTTCTATCCCCCATTCCTCTCCTTTCCTCTCTCTGAAATCAATAAAAATATATATTTTAAAAACCTGCAAGGATGCAGATTTGGAGGCAGGGAAGGGAGGGGAGTGGGGCCGTGAAGGGAGGGCACTTTTAAGTTGCAGCCAGCCCACTACACCTGTCTCATGAAAGCATCACCAGGAGGCCCCCATCCTGGATTCTGAGCCCTGCTGAAGGCAGCGATGGGTGAGGCGTTGTCTTCAACCTGAGCCTATGCCCAGTGCCTGGCAGTAGCACCCCCCCCCCCCGCAGATGACCCATGTCCCTGCTCCCTCCATGAGCAAAGTCACTAAGCCCTTCCGCCAGCCCAGACTACTCACCATGCATTTATTCACCGCCCAGTTCCTCGCATCGGCTCTCAGTGTTTGCCTGTGGCAGGGCCGCCTCTGGTATGGATTTGTGTCTGGTCTTCCTATAGTGCCCCAGAGAGTCCGAAATGCCATTCTCCTGTGTGTCCAACTCATGCTCTGCTGGGCCATCCCCACGCGTCGCTAAGCTCATGGATCGCTTTTCTGAGAGAAATAGCGGGTAGAACAGAAAAGGCACGGATGGGGCCTGTTGAGTAGACTGAGGCACAGGCTGGTTTATTTCCACCAACTGTAACACACGGGGATTCGCTCGAAGCATCTCAAGGCCCTTTCTAGCTTTTCGAAGCACATGCTCTCTGCAGCCATGCATGTGCTCTTTAATTTATTCCTTGAACATATGTTGCTGAGTGTTTGCTAAGCAGTAGGCTCGGGCAGGAAGACATGACCCTAGTCTCAGGGAGCTCATAGTTCAGTGAGAGAGAAGACAGTGACATGGTAACAGCACATGGTTAAGAGCTGCAGTGAGGGTACCAGTGGTTGAGCATGTCCTGGGAAAGGGTTAGACCTCCCCAGGCATCTACTCCCTGCGTCACCATGTCCACCTCATCGGTGGTGACTCCGTCTGGCCAGCTGCTCAGGCCTTAAACCTTAGAGTCCTCCTTGACCCCTCCCCTTCTCTTAGTCTCTTGCACCCCAGTCTAACCAGCAGCAAAGGACGCTAGTTCTGCCTTTACAGTATGTCAGCATCTGACCACATCCCACCACTTCCATTGCTGCCTGCTGACCTGAGCCTGGACTATTGCTGCAGTCTCCTCGTCGCTGTCCTTCCCTCTGTTCCATCTGTGTCTGCAGCCATTGGAGGGATCCTTCCAGAAGGCAAACCAGACCGTACCTCTCTTCTGTCCAGAGGCTCCTCATGCCGGTCACAGAGGACCCAGAGTTCTTCTAGGACCGGCAAGACCTGGTCTCTGGTCTTCCCTCCGATCACTCTGGCCTTTGATTGCTGCCCCTTGTGTTTGCCAAGGAACTTGCTGTCCCTTCTGCCGGGAGCACATGTCCTGCTTCCTGCAGAGGCCTGTGTAGAAGTTACTGGGCACCAAATTACCCCAAATCTTTGTGGCTTAGAACAATAAACAGTTATTATGTCTCGGTTTCTGTGAGTCAGGAATTTGGCTGGGCGACTGGCTCACCATCCCTCATGTGATTGTGGTCAGATGCCAACAAGGGCCGCAGTCTTACCTGAAGCCTGAACTGGGACTGGGTCCAGGTTCATGGTGGCCACTCCCGGGGCCGGTTGGTGCTGGCTGTTGGCAGGAGGCCGTGCCTCTCCTTCACTTTGGGCCTCTCCATGCGGCCAGCCTCCCTGGAAGTGGTCAGTTCAAGAGAGTGTGGCAGAAGCTGCCTTTTTACCTAGACTTGGAAGTCACACATTGTCACTCCTACTGATTGATTCTGTTTTCCATAATGTATTGTATTCATTAAAAGTGAGTCACCAGCCCATCCAGTATTCAGGGGAAGGAAATTAGGCTCCATCTTTTGATGGCAGGAGTGCCAACGAGTCTGTGAACACATTGCAAAGCCATCACACTGCAAGGTTAGTCCCTAGTCCTTCAAGTCTCCACCCCCTGTTACTTCCTCAGAAAGGTCTTCCCCGATGACTCTGCACTAAACAGCAGTCACCCCCTCCCACTCCCTAGTCCCATTACTCTGATTTATTTTCTCCGTAATTTATTACGCCCCAATAAGCCTTATTATTACTCACTATGTGTTTATTACCTGCTCCCCCATCTAGAATGTAGACTCCATGATCACAGGGGACATCTGTCGTGTTCGCTGCAGCCCCGCACTTTGAGCTGGCCTGGGCACATTGCCGGCACCCGTGGCATTGGCGCTCATGAGTGCAGTTAGCCTAGGCCAGGACAAGTATCAGGGAGGCATGCCTTGCTGGGGGCTGGGCAAAAATGGCAAACCTTGAGTTGTCTGAGAAGAGCCAGGACAGCATTCCACATGGACAGCCTGGCCTGGGCAAAGGCATGGAAATGGGACCCTCAGCGTAGGAGGAGGGGCGGGGAGGTGTAGGGGAAACTGAAGCTGAGCAGGACGGAGGGAGCTCTGGAAGCATGGGGCCGGCCGTGAGGAGGCTGGGAAGCCCTGACTAGAATGTTCATTCCTCCTGGGCTTGCAGTATCTCCCCACTCTGCTTCTAAAGATGCACCGTAAGCAGCTGACAGAGATGGATGCGTTTGCTGTCCTTCCTTCAATATTGACTGGGCTTGGCCTGCTCTCCTGGCAGCCAGAGGAGCAGGGGGCTTATCAGATGCCTTCATCCTGAGGCATAAAACCAGTCTTGATGCGCTGGCTGTAGCAGTGGGGTGCATGAGGAATGCAGACGCTGCTGATCGATGCTGGCCCTGGAGTCTGCGGGCAGGGCAGGGCGTTTGCTGGGCCGGGGGGGGGGGGGGGGGGGGGGGGGGGGGGGCGGATCCACCTGTGACTCTGGACTGCTGACTCCTCTCGCTTAAGAGTCAGCAGACTTGAGTGACAGTCTCTTCAAAGACTGAGTAATTAGGCAACTTCTTTTCCCTCCCTGGGACTCGAAGAAGGAGGGGGAACTCGGGGAATTGCCCTGTGTTGTTTGGAGCTCATCTTAAAGGCAGAAGAGGGAAGTTCAGGCCTTCCTCAAGTGGGTGGCCTCAGGCCTGCTACAGACACCAGATGGGAGGTTTGGTTCCCAGGGAAGTAAAGGGAAAAGAAACAGACACTTTTTAGGTCTTCCTGTTTACTTACTTTATCTTCACCACAACTCAACAACATATGGGCTGACATTATTCCCTATTTTATAACTTAGAAAACTGTGACTCAGGTTGAGTAGCCAGCCCTATAGCCACTAAATGGTGAAGGTGGTATTTAAATTCAGGTATCTCTGTTCCATATACATATAAGGCAGAAAAAAATGGAATTGAAATGGCAAAGAGGAGTTGGAACTAGTGACATCATGCTTTGGCCTCAAATTATGTCTTAAGGAAGGAAGTGAAATGCTGGTTTCCAGCCTCTCGCTGTGATTTAGTCAGGACAGTATTAGCTGTGCTGCAGAAACAAACAAACTCAGCCTCAGTGGCTTCGCCTAACTAAGGTTGGTTTCTGCTATGCAAAGTCTGAGGTGGTAGGTATCTCTGCTCCATCAGAGTTGCTGTGACAGAGGAACACAGTAAGATCTTACTGCGTCAAACTGGAAATGACATATGTTATTCCCACTCAGAGACCATTGGTCAAAGATAACCTCATGGCCCCAAGGGAAGCAAGGGCAGCTGGGCTACGTTAGGGCATCTAGGAAGGTTTGACGAGCATTGCGAGTCTCTGTCACAGTCTAATACGTTTGCTTCCTATTTCTGTTCCTGTAGGACCGAACCCCAGAGCAGCCCCATGGTTCCAGGTCAGGATGGGCCCTCTGCAAAGCTGAGCCAGCATCTGGCCACGGAGGCCTCGGGCACCAGCTGGGAGAGAGACAAGGCCTGCCGGGAGCGCAGTCCTGCGAGGGCACGCAGGTGAGGTGCTACCCACTCCTCCAGTCCAGAGAGAACGTTCACGTCGCGGATGCAGAAAGGAGTCTCTGGCCACTCCTCCCCTCTCGCTTTGCAAGCTCCTCTTTCCGACCCTCACGTCGGGGACCAGCAAGCCTCAAGTCTGTCCAGTGGCCAGGGCTTTCTTGGTTTTACCCCATCACTTAAATCTGAGTCTAGGACAGTGGTTCCCAAACCTGGCTCCCCTGGGACTCTGGGGTTCCAGAGAGAAGTGAGAGTCATTGACTGAAACAATGAGATCTTTGTTTCACACAACACACTTAGGAAAGGTGTTTCCCTCCCTTAAGTGTCCCTTCCTCAAACACTTGGATTTTCTTTTCTCTCAAACCTGGCCACCGTTACACTGGGGAGTGTGTATATGAATCCGGACAGTTTGACACGTGGCTACATTATTGCACCATTCACCCGCGTTTGGCCACTCACCAGATATCTGCAGGCTCTTCCTCTGCATCTGCCCTCCCTGAAGGAAAGATTTGGAAGCGACCTACCCAGTTGCCTGGCAGCCCGTCTGCTTCCGGGAACGGGTCGTGTCCTCCGAGTTTCCTCACCTGTCAGTGTAGTTCAGCAGCTGAGTCGTCATCCCCTTGTATTTATGTTTCACCTGCTGAAACCGACTGTCTTGCAAATGTTCTAGCTACAGCTCTAGATTTCTATCCTGCAGTGCGGAGACCTTGGCGTATGTCGTAGCCACCTGATCATGTTTTTCCCACTCACCAAAATGACCAGATTCTTGGAGGGAATTCGGTATGGCAGCGTTTTATGCTCTTCTGGAAAGAGCTGGGTCATTTCCAAAAGCCTGGCCGCGGACACAGAGTCCAGAGCCGGCGGGTTCTGTGGGAAGCCCTCAGGGCAGGAGCCACACGTCCCGACTGCGCAGGTGGGCAGGCCCGTGCGGCTCGCTCAGCCCGTAAAAGGAGGCAGTAAATCAGCCCACTCTCGCCGCGTCCGCGAGCATCCAAGCATTTAAAACGCTCGGCATGTATGTAATAAGTGAATGAATGGTCGTTGCGTTATGGCTAATAAAGACAATAATATTCTTATTAATATGTCATTTTCCCACTGTGGTCCAGCTGGGTTGGCATGTTTCAATTTCCATGTGGTTTTTCGTCCCCAACCACCTCCTTTTGCCCTGGGATAGTGTTTTAAAAATATCCCTGGAGCCTGCCCCGATTATAATAGGAGATAACTCGACTGCATTTAACTGCAGCCTGAGCATTTGAATTTAATTGAATGGGAAATAATTATTCCTGAAAAGCGGAGAGTTTTGAGGTTCTGTGAGGCCATATAAGATATGTATCTCATTACATTAGACCTCGGCAAATATACTTTTAATAATCAGCTGCCATTTAACATATATGCCTTCTATTGCATTTCCAGCAGGCACTTCTAGCAGGCACTACACAGACAAGATATATTGGGGAGGGAAGGGGCCGGACTGCTGATTCATTATTTAAACGATTTGTTTACCAAGGTGAACCATTTGCAAATTTGATAGTAAATCTATTAAGGAGCAGTTAACCGCTATAATTTTGTTTTAAATAATCAGTTGGTGTTTGGGTAACGTACAGCGTCTGTCTCATTAGGTCGGCATTAGCTCCTTATTTGAGGCACTTAGTCTGAAGTGTGACCGATCCAGCCGTGAGGTTTTAATTAGGGACCCGCTCTGGGCCTTCACCCTCCAAGGAGCTGGGTCCCTCTTCCCTCAGCAACAGCCCTGAGCAGGGCTCGGGAACCCTGAGTCCTCTAACACCAGACTCTGTGCTCCCTGCAGCGCCTCCCGCGACAAAGATCGGACGCCACCACCATCCTCCAGGGGGAAGAAGAAGAAGAAGAAGTCCGCCCGGAAGAGGAGAAGGAGGTGAGGCCTAGGGAAGGGGATGCCGGGGTCAAGGGGGCTGCAGAGCCAGTGACCCCTGGGGTTGAGTTCCCCTCTCTGCCTCTTAATCAGCTGTGTGACCTTGGAGAAGCCACTTCACCTCTCTGTTTCCACTTCTGTAAAATGAGGGTAATTCCTACCTCTTGGGATTTTTGTGTGAATTAGATGAACAAAACAGATATGGAAGGAGCTGTCAAGCGTCTGACACATAGTAAGCGACCAGTTAGTCGGAAGCATCGCCGTGGCCATGAATATTGATTTGTGTTTTGTTTTTGTTTCTTTGAGAACTGCCTCTGTGTGCAGGGCTGCGCTAAGCACTGTGTCCTCCACAACCTCCTTTACCCTTGACCTCAATCCACCCGGCAAGCACTATTGTCCCCATTTTAGAGAAAAGAAAGGCACCGAGAGGGGGTGGCGAAGCCCCGGGACAGGACTCCAGGCTCCTCATGGGCTCGGCCACACCCATCAGCAGGTTAAAGCCAAGGATCACGGGTTTTATACTTGTGCCAACTATTGATCCTTTTGTATCCTGTGATTTTTTTTCTATGTACCATTTCCTTTAATTCTTTTGTATTTAAGAAGATTCCCAGATATTCTTCTAAGCTGCCACTCATTAGACCCACCGCGGTGAGCAGAGGCCTTAGAAGGGGGAGTTGAAAAACACACCAAACCTGGGAGGCAGTATTCGAAGAAGCCTGCAGGGGGCAGCAGAGAGGAGTGTCTGAGTGACAGGTCCAGGACACCCCTTTAGCCTCCTTCTAAGGGAGCCCAAAGGGGAATATGGATGAGACCCTGACTTCCAGACTTTGGGGGCGAGCGGTGGAATTGGGGCAAATGGCTTCTGCCTCTGGATCTTAGCGGAGGGCGTGAGAACACTTCAGAGAAGGAGAGCACAGGCGTCAGGCTGCACTCACTCACTCTCATTCAGCAAGTGCCCCGGGGCTCGTGTTTGGGGCCGGCACTGTGACTCTCGGCCCTGCCCTCCCCAGGCAGACATGTTTGTTTGCTCTGGAAAGTGGCTTTTTGTGGGGGGTGTTTTGTTTGGTTTGGTTTTGGTTTGGGTTTGGGTTTTGTCTTTTTAATTGGTGGCCAACATTTAAAAGCCAGGAGATTTCATATACAAAGATGTGTTTCTGGTGACTTCTATTGAAAAAGGAGGGTTTTGGCAGCCGGGCTGCATTCCCACACGGGCCCCTCAGCTGATCTCAGAAGCCGCCCTTCAGCCAGGCGCTGTCTGGTTGGCCACAGTCCCCACCGCTCCCTCCTGCCTGACCCCGGCTGCTCCTCCGCGGAGTGTGAAACTCGAATCTTCCCCAGCCTGGGTGCTTTGTCAGGGGGAAGTCAGAGCAGTGACCTACCCAAGGTGACCTCATGAGTTGGTAGTAAGGTCGGGATTGGAACTCGGATCACCTGAACCTCAGCCTGACGTTTCAAACAAATGCCTTGGTGTGTGTGTCACGGAAAGAGCTGAGACCAGCATTGGAGCTGGAAAGGGGTCTTTTTGAAACCATCCCCGGCCTTTAAGAACCTCCCTGTGACGAGGTCTCCCTCTCCCTCAGGTCCCCATCCTATAGCCCGTCGCCTGTCAAGAAAAAGAAGAAGAAAAATTCCAAGAAGCATAAGCGATGCAGGTATTGACCTTCCTCCTCTGTGAGCAGGGGTGCTCTGGGTGGGGAGGTGGGGGGTCAGGGTTACGGGGGGGAGGGGGCGAGAGTGGGGGCACCGAAAGGGCATTTGGGAGCATTTCACTCACATGAAATGTTTACCTAGGAATTGCTTTTGTTTTTGTTTTTGTATCTTGCACAACCTGAGACCCTGGTTGCGAGGACCAGATCCCACTAAAGCCACTTGGGCCAGAGGGGACGGGGCGATAGGGAGGCAGGGGTGTCCCGGGGACAGCCAGGCCTCCGTGAGGGTCTAGCACCGGGGAGCGGAGGCTGATGGAACCCAAGCAGGACAGGCAGTTCCTGTTCCAAGTGGGAGCCACGGCAGCCCTGCTGCTGTCTCCACATCGCAGGCCCGGCCACAGGGAGACACGGGCTCTCCGTCAGATTCCCCAGGAAAGGCCTCTCGGTGGGTGACCGTGGCCCACAGGCAGAATCGTGCAACAGGCTCTGGGATTGTCCCCCTTGTGGGCAGTTAAGGGGCATCTGAACTGGACACACGTTCCAAAAGGTCCCAGTCCACACACAGGCACCACCCTCACACGTGTGGTTCATGGGGCGGGCGGGAGAGCGGGCAGATGCTCCCTGGAGGACGCCAGGCTGTGTTTAGGGGCCAGGCCAGCGTTTGTCACGGGGACAGGAGGACACGCTGGTGCTGATGCTCCCGGACCCTTCCCTCCGCTGGTGCTGATGCTCCCGGACCCAGCGCCCCCTCGTCCTCAGTGTCTGCTTAATGGTGGCCCCCTCGTCCTCAGTGTCTGCTTAATGGTGGCTGACTAGTTGGAGACAGGAGCTAGGAGCAGAGGATGCATTGAGATTTTTTTGTCTCTGCTCCATTAAAAAGGCTTCAAGTTTTTTTAAAACAAATATATTTTATTGATTTTTTACAGAGAGGAAGGGAGAGGGATAGAGAGTTAGAAACATTGATCAGCTGCCTCCTGCACACCCCCTACTGGGGATGTGCCTGCAACCAAGGTACATGCCCTTGACCGGAATCGAACCTGGAACCCTTCAGTCCGCAGGCCGACGCTCTATCCATTGAGCCAAACCGGTTAGGGCAAGGCTTCAAGTTTTTTAAAAATTCTATTTTTTACATCTGTTTATTGAATGCCTATCATGTGTCGTGAATGAGGATTCTGGGCCCAGGAACAGGACAGTCACCAAAGCCCAGCCCCTGCCCTCAAGTCGCTCACATTTAGTTGGGGGACTGGGTAGTTACTTGTGTGCAGGTCTGGCCTCGGAGCTGGTGGGGCAGGGGGCAGGCACCCAGGCAGCCCGGGGATCCGAACACACTACACGGAAGAGAGGCCACCAGAGAGGCCCTCCAGGAATGAGCAGGAGTTCCTCGGTGAAAGCTGTGTGACCTGGGCAACTGAGCTGACTTCTCTGAGCTTCAGCGTCCCTATGAAATGGTGGTTAACAGCATCTCCCAGGGTTTGGGGGGGAGAGAGGATGGGGGGGTGTGAGATGCTGAGCACGGAGCGTGGCCCACAGTGCGCCCACGTGTGGAACCTGGTTGTCCATGCGGGTGACAGTGATGAGGACGATGACAGTGACGCGTCCACAGCTGGGGAGAGACAGAGGAAAGCGAGGCTGGGGTGGGGAGGGGCAGAGGACTCCCTTACATCACCCTCACCAGACGGGCCCAACCTCATCGCAGGGGGCTCACTGCCGATTTGGGTGAGGGCTGAGCGCTGGTAGGTTTTGACCTGGGAATTCAAACTGCAGACAGTGCCTCCCATGTGGTCTTCATACCCTTCAGAATCTAAGAGACGAGGAGCTTCGCTAGGCGTCCCGACCCCAGTGTCACATGACCGCAAGCTCACTGATACATTCATCCAGGGAAAGACCCTCAACCTCACCTCTCTTTATTCTCTTCCCTCCCTCCCTCCTCCCCTCCTCCCTCTGTGCCTTCCTTCCTCCTCCCCTTCATCCCTCCTCCCCTTCTTTCCTCCTCCCCTCCCTCTCTCCTCCCCTCCTCCCTCTGTGTCTTCCTTCCTCCTCCCCTTCATCCCTCCTCCCTATGTCTTCCTTCCTCCTTTCTCTCCTCCCCTCCCTCCCTTTTCTCTTTTTCCTTTTCCTTCCACCAGGTCATTCTTCAAGAGAGCGGAAGGGGCACGGTAAAAGACACATGCCCCCTGGGGCCGTGTTCAGATTTTCCCCTTTTTTTCCTAAGGGGACGGGGTTTTCACCCCGGGGGGGGGGGGCCCCC